CGACCGCGACGCGACGTTCTCGAAGCCTCCGCAGACGCCTCCGACGAACGCCGCGCCCGATCGCGCGTCGATGAGGTGGTCGACGTCGTGGCTCTCGAACTCGAGGGCCGCGTCGTTCTGATAGAGGGTCGCCGTGAGCGTCGCGCCGGCGTCGACGGCGCTCCCGCAGGCGACGACGGCGCCGGTCGCGTCCGTGAGGCGGAGGTAAGTGTCGTCGCTCCGCACGGCCGCCTTGCGCATGATGACGTCGCCCACGGCGAAGGACCGACAACGGAGCTCCGTGGCGTAGGAATTTGCGGAGCGCAATGCGTTGAACGCGACGACGAGGCGCAGAAGCGTCATCGTTGGCAGCGACGTTTCACGCTTTGACCACGGATGCGCGGAATCGCCGGTTTACAAGATCGCCGAGGACTCAACACTGTAGACAAAACTCCCGTGTTACGGCGCCGCCTCCCTCTCGTTGATGGGCGTGTTGACCTCCTTCAGCGCGATCTCGCTGTCGCTGGGCCGGTGGGGCGCGAGGGGCTTCGACGGCGTTTTGTGCCGCTTCGCGGCGCCGGCGACGGCGACGGCGAGCCACGCGCAGAAGCACGCGACGAGCAGCGACGTCTGCGCCGTGTACCAGGCCCGTTTGTCGGCGATGTGCTCCAGGTCGGCGGCCTTGGAGATGCCGCTCCGCGTCGCCGCGGCCGCGAGGACGACGGCGCCGTAGCCCAGGCCCGTGTGGACGTAGTTGAAGTAGACGCGCCTCGGCGCGTCCTTGCCCGGCCGCGCGAAGCCCATGAGGACCATGGCGCCGACGACGACCATGACGCCGACGCCGATTTTGGGGTGGCGGCCCCGCAGGTGGTCCGCGCCGTCCGTGCCGTCGATGGCCGCCGCCGCGACCGCGACGCCCGCGAGCGCCAAGATCAGCGCGGCGACGTTGCACGCGATGTGGATCCGGATCCAGAGCGGTCCCGGCGCCAGGACGAAGCGCGACTTGGCCGCGACGAGCGCGCTCGGCATGAGCGCGGCGAAGGCGGCCAGGAGCAGGCCGCCGTGGGCCCTGATCTTCCGCGACGAGACCGTCTCGATCGTCTTCACGGAAAACGCGCACGTCTCGAGGTCCAGCGTCAGCGCGCCGACGTCGCCGCCGTGGAAGCCCAGGGACCCGGAGCCGTAGGACCAGACGAACCTGTCCGCGCCGACGGTCTGCTCGCCGGGCTCGTCGATGAGCTTCGTGAACGCGACGACGTACGCGTCGGCCTCGACCATGGTGGCCGCGTCGGTCAGCGTCTGCGCGGCCATGGCGTCGATGCCGCTCTTTTTGTACGACGTGATGTCGTACTTCGCCGGGCCGCCGTCCGGGCCCTCGGCGATGACGCACTCCGTGCCCGTCATGGACCCGTCGCCCCACCCCAAAGACACCCAGTCGCCGCCGCCGCTCCCGGCGAGGACGAGCGCGGCCTCGAGCGCGCCGCCGACGACGGACCAGTGGAAGCGGAGCCGCCCGTCGAGCGCGAGGGAGAACTCGTAGCCCCGGTCGCTCGAGCAGTCGAAGGCCGCCGCCGACGGCGCGCCCGTCGGCGCGAAGACGACCGTCGCCGGTCGGGCCGCGACGGCCGCAAAGGCCGGCGACGCCGCGCGCAGGGACGCGTCGAGAACGCCGCTGTCGACGGCGGCGTCGAGGGCCGCGGCCGTGGCGTCGAGGCCCGCGCGCGTGTCGATGGTGAAGTCGACGGCGACGCCGGAAGCGTCGTCGAGGCGGCGCCGCCGCCGCCGCCGCGCGGCGGCCGCGGCGACGCCGACGACGCCGACGTCGTCCGCGGGCAGGCCGAGCGCGTCCGCGACGCTCGCCTCGAAGGCCGCGGCCTCGTCGTCGCCGAACTCGTCGACGTCGACGCCGTCGAGGGC